CCCCGCCTCTCTCCCTGCCCTCGGGATGGGGGACGGGATGCTCAGGGCGGCGGCAGGGTCAGGGAGGACCCGATGCTGTCAGGGCCGCCGAGGGCATCTCCCCGGGCCGTGCCCGGCGCCGTCTCCTGTGGCCCGCGGGCGAGCCTGGCGTCAGGGGTCCGTCCTCGCCATGGAGCTGGGGGGGGCTGGAGCGGGTGGGTCAGGCCTGGGTGCGCCGGGCGGGCGGCGGGGCGGGGGGCCGGCGGGGCGGGCGGCGGGGGGACGGGGCTGCCGGGGTCCCGCTGCCCATCGCTGGGGGGGGACCGCCGGGGTGGGGGCCCTGCAACGAGACAGACGCGAGCGTGAGCGACACGGAAACGTGGACGCCCTGTTCCCATGGTGACTCGCTCCACATGCGCCGCAGCGCCCGCAGCCAGGGGGAACCGTGCCTGGCACCCCGTGCACCCCCCGCCATCACCCCCATGGATGCAAACCTGTGCAGCCGCCCTAGAATCACCCACGGCACTGCTGGGCACCCTGGGGTGGGGGACGGATGCTGTGGTGCCACAGCATCATCTGAAGATCATGATCTGAAGATCTTGGGTGAATTACTGCTTCAGGGGGGCCACCATGGATCCCCTTCTCCTGCCCAGCCGGTGCACCCTAAATTGCTGCTGAGCGCAGGAGGGTCATCCCCGTGCTGCCACACAGGGGGGTGCCCTGGCGAGCAGGAGGGACAAGCAGAGGGGCCGGGTGCCTGCGGCACGTGGCGCTGGCAGGAGCACATGCACCGAAGCCATCGCTGGGGATGGTGGCACCCCAACACAGGAATTCAGGGCCAGGGGTGGTGGCGATGGGAACCATCACCTTCGCCCTTTAGGCAGGGTGACAGCTCGGTCACATCCAGCCAAGCATCAAATGTCAAGGGCGTGTGCCAGGGGCAGGTCTGCTCCTCAGTGAGCGGCGAGCAGCACCCATGGGTGCTCGAAGGCAGGCACGTAAGCACCCGTCAGGATTCTCATTATCGTGGTGTGGGAGAAAACGGGCTCGGCAGCAGGGAGGAGGGTGAGCCTGGAGCAGCGGCAGCCGAGGGCTGTGTGCTCACGGTGACACCACCGCTCCCTCGGAGCAGGGCGAAGGGGCGCGGGGTGCTCCATCACCCTGCGGCGCAGGGCCGCGCTGCCGGCGAGGGATCACGGCAGGGCCACCGGGACTGAGGGTGCCGGCGGGGCCGGAGGGCCGAGCCCGGCGGAAGGAAGAAACGATGGGGAAGGAAGGAGCCGGGGGCCCTGACCGCGCTCCGGCGGGCAGCGGGGGCTGCTCCATCACGCAGACAAACGCGTGGGCTGAGGCAGCGCCGGGATGCGGGTCTGTGGGGAGGGGGTGCCCTGGCTGAGGCCAGCTCGGTTCGGGCAGCGCTCGCCACATCGGCTGCAACAGGCTCCGCGCCGGCAGCCTGGGCATCCCCGGGGAGGAGAGGTACCGTGCGGGAAGGGCCGTGGGTCGAGCCCCGGGATGACGGCCGGGGGAACACCGGGAAGCGGCGCAGGGCGGGCTGGCGGCGTCGCGGACCGGGGGCGTTCGCAGCTGGGGCGTGCGGGGGGAGCGGGGCTGCCGAGGACGTGCGGGCTGGGGGAGGAGCGGGGCCGGGCTGGAGACACTCACGCCGGGCGGAGAGCGGAGAGCGGCCGCCGAGCCGGGCCCCGCCGGTAGCCCCGGGCCGCCCCGCTGCCCCCGGCCGCGGCCTGGGCCCCGCCGCCCGCGTCGCATCCCTGCCCCGCTGCCTCCGCGGAGACGGTGACACCCCGGCGGGGAACCTCCCCGCTCCCCGCGCCGGGCGCGGCACCCCTTCCTCATCCTCATCCTCCTCCTCCCCCGGGCCGCGCGCCCGCCGGGGCCGGACCGGAGATGCGCGCCCCGGTACGCGCCGCGCGCCCCCGCCGCGGCCCCCGGTGGCGACGGCCCCGCGCGCCCCCGCCCCGGCCCCGCTGCCCCCGCACCGCGCAACAGGCGGAGGCGCCGCGCCCGCTCCCTCCGCGGCTCCCGTTACCGGCGGCGGCGGCGCACGTGGCTCAGGCGGCGGGCGGCGGCTCCATAGGGCGGCGGGGGAGGGGGCCCGGTGCGCGCCCGGTGCGCGGCGCCGCCGCCGCCTCCCGGCGCTGCCTTTGTCTCCGGTGAGCGCTCCCGCGCCGCCGCCGCGCGCCGCCCCGCCCGCCCGGGCTCCCGCCCCGCCGCTCCGCCCCGCCCTCGGCTCGGGGAGGGATCCGCGGGCTCCCCGCACCCCCCGCCCCGGGACCCGCCGCCGCTCGGGGGCCACCGGCTGGGCTCCGGTACTGCCAAGGGAATCCCCCCGCTCCGGCCCCTGGGGAACGGCGGCGGGATGCCGGTGGCGAGAGGGCCGGGGCATCCCCGGGGGTGGCCGCGGGAGCGCCGCGGGAGCCCCACGGGGTGGGGGCCGGGGATTCCCGGGTAGCGGCTCCCGGTCCGGGTGGGGTGAGGGCCCTGCGATGCCCGCTGGGGCGGTGCCACAGGCTCCCACGGTCCGCAGCCCTGCATTCGCCCTGGAGGTGCCCTGGGGGTGCTGCCACCCGTTTCCGCAATGCCATCCCCAGCCTCCTCAAGGGGTGACAACGGCGTGCTCCCGGGGTGACGGCCAGCACGGGGCCACAAGCACGAGAGGGCAGCACGGCCGCTGGCAAGAGCTGAACAGCCCCTGCCACAGCCCACCCGGCCACTGCAGTGACACTCGTGGCTCTGCGGGGCAGGGGTGCCAGCCTGGCCCCCAGAACAGTGAGGGACTGAAATGGCACTGGGTGTCCTGGGGTCACCCCGCTGCCTCGGGTGCCATACCCCCAGGCAGACCCCTCGCCAGCCTGGCCTGGGCAATTGTCCCTGAGCTAGGGCTCCCCCAGGCACTGCCATCGGGTGGTTGTCACAGCTCTTCTCTGCTGTAACTGAGGCTGGTGGTCGTGGCTCCCCATGGGCCGCCCCTCTGGCTCCTTCGGACCGCACCGAGCTTGGGGTCGAGTCCCCGCCGTCCCTTCGCTGCGCCCTGGGGCCGTGCCAGGAGCGAGGCAGAGCGGTTTTGGGGCGGAGATGTGCCAGATGCGGGTGGGCGATGGGTGTGGGTGCCCCAGCAGGCCGTGACCCCGTCGCCGTTTCCTCCCCGTGGGCAGGGTGGCAGGCGCCCGCTGCGGCGGCACACACGGCGCATTGTTCTGCCGGGGGCCGCCCGGAAGGATTTCCTCCATCCCGGCCAGGGGTGACCCGGGCACTCCGGGCGCTGGCAGCCCACTCCCACCGCAGCTGGGCACGGCGGCTCCGGTGTCCGGCCCAGCCCGAGCACCCCGCCGGCAGCAGGGCCGCAGTGTCCCCCGGCCCCCTCGGCTCTGGCCCCGACTCACCTTGCTGGAACTCAGCTCCTGCGATCCGACCTCACAGCGCGGCCACGGCAGCCGGGCTCTGCCGGCTCGGTGCTTGTGCGGGTGCCCCAGCAGCACCCAGGGCGGGCAGGGGGCTGCGGCCATGCGGGGGGGGCGGGGTGGTCCCTTCAGGCATGGGGACCGCAGGGACGGGGGGCACGGCGGGGCCCACGGGCATCGTCAGGTCAGGGCAAGGGCGGGCGAAGGGAGCCGGGCCTCCGGCCCCGCCAGCGCCGGGGGCCGGGAGCTGCCTTCCCCTTCCCCTTCTCCCCACGGCAGCGGGGGGAGGCAGGCGGGGGAGCGCTCCCCGAGCCACATGGTGGGCTGGAGGAGGAGCCGTTGCCCAGGCAACAGCTGAGAGCATCCTTCACCCCTGAAAATGGTGTGCAGAGCTGCTGCCACAGCCCCACAGCACGGGGCACTGCTCAGGACCCTCACAGCTCTCCTGTGTCCGTAGGGTCCAGATCCACCCACTCCAGCTCTGGACACACACCGGCATCCCCTCACCTGTGTGCTGCTACCCCCATCAAGGGCAGGGATGGAGATGAGACACCCCCCAAGTGCTGGAGCACCACTGGGCAGGTGGAAACAGGCAGAGCCACTGCCCTGCCCTGCTCAGGGCTAGCCACGGCTCTGTTCACTCTCCAGCTCTGCCCCAGAGCCACCCTGAACATGTGACAGACACACGAACACGCTGGTGGCCCCAGGACCTTGGTGCCAGGGTGCCATGACCCAGGCAGTGCCAGGAGGGGAGCACCAGCATCCTGCCTGGTGTGTTGGGAACAGCAATGCCCAAGCATTCCCATCCCCCTGCCTGCCTTCCTTCCTTCCTTCCACGGCTGCAGCAAATGCCTGGATTTTACCCCAAGATGCCCCCTCTGAGTGTGAGAACTCCTCCTCGGCCCGCTCCCATGGCAACTGTTCCCTGGTTACCCAGCCTCACTTGCTATTCTCATCCCAGTGCAGCTGCGTGCGGCCCCCCCGCGCTGCGCACGAGGCTGTCACCGCTGCCACCAGCCCCGGACCCCAAACCCACCCTGTGTCCCCCACCAGGCTGCCCCCCTTTGACTGCTTCCCCCTTGGTGACCGTCGTGACCCTCACCCCGTGTCACTGCACAGGGTTTCCCCTGGAGGGGCTCTTCCTTGGGCTGAGGAGCAGCACTGTGTTCCCATTCATGGTGGCCCCCCTGAAGCAGTAATTCATCATGACCAGAGGGCAGCAGGACTCTGTGCTGGCCCCACAGCACACCTGGGACAGCCTGGGAGGGGCTGTGCTGGGGCTGGACAGGTCCCAGAGGGGACCACAGCATGCCAACAGCACAAGGCCTCATACCTGTCATGCTCTGACACTGACTCAAAATACGCAGCAAAGACACTGAGGGTCATCTGTGATACTCAGGGCTCAGCCAGCATCAGCCTTTTTGCCCTGGAGAGCAACCCCAGCCCTTCCCTGCAGGACAGGAACCAGCAGAGCCCATGGCAGCCCAGAAACAAGGGCCCCACTCCCCTTACAGCCACCAACCCTGTATGGCCCGGAGCAGGTCCCCCATGACATGAGAGCAATACAAGGCACAGCAAATCTTTACACTTAACAAAAGGTTAAAAATTTAAATACTCTCCAACTTTAGTGCAAGGCAAGCAAATGATACCACAGGTCCAAGTAGGTGCTCAGCCCCCCTGGGGGGCCTGGCTCAGAATGAGCAGAGGCAGCAGCACACGCACACACGTGTGCACACACACACACAGAGAAGGGACAAGTTATTGCTCAGGACACAGCTGGGACAAGTGTACACAAGAGGGGACAGGACAAGCTGAATGGAGAGGTGGGCTGATCCCCACGCTGCTCCCCACAGAGGGCTCCTGCCCATGGGTGCAGGAGCTGTGCTGGCTGCCCAGAACCCCTGGGGACACACATTAAGCTGGTCCCAGCCTTCTCACTTTTGGGTCACAGTTTCACATGACCCCAGGAGGGACATTCCCTTTATCACAGCTTTGCTCCCTGAGAGCAGGGTCCTTTATGTGTCTGCTCCTCCACCACTGAGCTGGGCCTGGGCACGGCCACACCTCTGGAATGCACAGGTCCAGAGCTGGTGGAACTGTGCTGCCACCACCCTGCAGGTTGCCGGGATCAGGCCAGCCCTGTGGCCACAGCAGCAGCAGGTGCCTGGGAGTGGCTGTGTCCAGCTGTGCCAGTGGTCTGGAGAGGGGCTCGGGATCAGCTCACTGGAGCTGGCAGCACGTGTGAGACGAGGCAGGAGGCAGCAGGCTCCAGCAGACAGGGACACGAGGACAAGGCAGTGACGCTCTGCTGCCAGGACACAATGGGGGACGCTTTGGCACAGCACTTCCCTGTGCCTCGAGGCTGAGCAATGGACTCCGCTGGAGCCAGGACACCTCAGCACGGCCAGAAAGGTCCAGGAAAGATGATTTAGACACCTCAAGGCACAGAAGGCCTCTGTCCAGGACTCCCTGGAACAAAGCTGGGACAGTCACTCCTCCCATAGGAGGACATTTGTGCCTGTGACAGGGTGGGGGCAGTGCAGGCCCCCACCCATAGACTAAAAACCAACATGTGATATGTACAGACCGACATATATAAATATACATCCAACCTGTGGCGCCGCTCGGGCACCGTGGAATGTGTCAGCAGAGCTGCTCCAGCCTGGCCTCGGCCCACGCTGGAACCATCCCTCCCTCCCTGGGCCCGGCACAGGAGCGGCAGCAGCACCAGCACCATCCCAAGGGGCAGATTTGGAAGCGTCCGGGTTGGTCTCAGGGCTTGCCCGTGGTCAGAGGCGCCTCAACCCGAGTCGTGTGCGGCTGCCAGCCTTGGAATCATCCTCACAGTCTTCACATGCAGACGTATAAAACTGTAAACAAATCCACCTTGTGGGGCCACTGCGACCGTGTCCTTCAGGCTGGGCACTCGGGAGAGGCAAGGGGGTCCCAGGGGCTGGAGAACAAGCTGTGCTCTACAGCCGGGTGGGCTCTTCCTCGCTGTCGCTGCAGTTTCCACAACAGTCCTGAAGTCAGAAGGGCAAGGGGAGGGAGGAGGGAGGGAGAGAGGAGCACAGCAAGCAGAGGGTGAGCACGGTCACACAACCCAGCCTACAGCTGCCCTCTGGCAGGGATGGGCCAGGTTCCCCCCCACCCCAGCCTGTGTGCAGGAGGGTTACATGGAGGCAAGGGGCAGGAGGGGATCCCCAGACTGCAGAGAACAGTCCAGCTGCATCTGGAGGTTCAGCCCCTGGCAGGCAGACTGGTGAGCACACAGCTGGCTGGCTCAGAAGCTGTGGTAAGCTGGGCTCCAGGGACTGCAGCCACCCAGGGACACAAGCTCAGTGCCAGCACAGATGCTCAGCCCTGCTCAGGGCTCAGCTGGCCACGAGAGCAGCTGAAGCCCTTTTTGATGAAAAGGGAGTCTGAGCATGGGGCAATGCCAAACCCTTCACAGTTTCTCAACCCTTCTGTGTGTCCTGGACATCCAGAGAGGAGTGAAGGAAACTCCCCACAGCCCCCTGGGAGCAGAACTCCCAGCAGCAGCAGTGCAGGGGCAACTTTGGCTCAAGCTGAGGGCAAGGCCTCCCCCACAAAGGCAGCAAGAGCAGGGATGCTGGATTAGTGGCTCAGGGGGCAGTTAGAACAACAAGCAGGTTGTGCTCTGCCAGGGGAAGGGAATAGGCACTGAAGGGTAACACTCCTCTTTCCCAGATCTTGCCATGTCCGTGGGCCACCGGGTATTTCCCTGAGCAGAGCAGCCAGGAGTGACTGCTCACCTCTGGAAAGAAAAAACACGTGGGAAATCACAGCTCAACCCCTTCTACAAACAGCTGCCCATCCTCTGGCAGGTCCTGGCTGCCTGGGGAAGGGCTGGGTATCTCCAGAGCTGGCTCGGGCTAGGGCAGCCCACTGAACTGCAAAGCACAACTCGGAGCTTGCCAAGGAGCAGGAGTCAGCACCAGGTGGCTGAGTGGGTCCAGAGCCAACCATGCTGGAGTCCTACAGCTGCACACAGCTGCTGAGAGGCAGCAGCCCAGGCTTTGCCAGGCCTGGAAAGAAGGTAAAGACTGTCCCAGGCAGAGGAAATAGGCAGACAAACAAGCCCACAACAGCTGCAAGCTGTTTCTGTTCTCCTCATCCCTCAAAAGAGCTGCTCTCTGCCTGGCTCAAGATCTGGCAAAGTGCTCTGGGGAGCCCAGACAGCCCATTCCAAGAGCAAGGACTTGCTAAGGGATGGTATTATTCATGTCAGAAGGGACATGATTGAATATTTTATAGTCTTCAGCATCCCTCTGCCTGGGTGATTCCAGCATGTTTAGCCAGGACCCTCCTTTCCAGCCCCCTTGACTCCCCCAGCACGGGGAGTGCCAGCTAGACAGGGGCTGGCTCCTTGCACAGGTGCCCCTGAAAGCTCTGGGGTCTGGCCACCCAGCACCAGGGGAGACTGCTCACTGCCCTCTCGTGCCCACCTCCCTGCCAGCCCTGCCTGGCACAGGCAGGAGCAGGATCACTGTTGCTGGGAGACTGGCTGGGGAGGAAACACTGGGCAAACCCTTACCTGTCTGCTGAACAAGCGCTGGAGTAACCCTTTTTTGGGCTGTGGAGAAGGCTGCCCTTTCCAGTCCAGGTCTGGGGGCACTGTGCCATCTGTGCTAAAGACATTCAGCTCCTTAAAACACTCTGTCTCGATCATCTGGAAGAGGGAAAAGAAGGCTGCAGCAACTGCCACATCACCATCATGCCCAGCAGAGCATGAGAGCAGTGGAGACAGCACAGGGACACTGCCCTCGGCCATGGTGGGCACAAGCAGGAGCAAAGACCCACCTCATTCTGCCAAGGAATGGGCACACTTCCTGTAGCAAACTTCTGGTAAAAGTCGTTGTCTGTGGGCTCCAGCTCCACCCCTTTCACCGTGGAGAACTGCTCGATGTCCAGCACATCCTTGCAGTAGATGGCCTGGGGCTATGCAGCACAAAGATTGCTCTAATGCCAGGCTCCACCTTGATGCCACCACCTCCAACTGTTGCTCATGGCTAAGCCAAGGCCACCTCTCCCTGCAGCCCAGAGCTTGCTGGACCCCTGTTCTGCCAGGTCCAGGGAAGGGGATGGGCCCCATTTCCCCATGCCAGGGCTCCCTCTTCCCTTGACAAGGTCAGGAAGAGATGGGCACTTACATCTGGCTTGAAGGGAGGGTCCAGCATGCCTGCTTCCAGCCTCCTGAAGTTGAGGTGCTTGAAGAGAGGGTGTTCCTTCACCTCCTTGGCCCCAGCTCCTCGGCACCCCAGGCGCTCCAAGGGGTCTTTGCACAGGAGCTGTGACACAAAGGAAATCAATGTCCAGGGTGCTCTGTGCAGGAGCAGCCCTGGGTTCCTGCAGTGTGTTCTAGGGAGAGCACAGGCCTGCCAGGCAGCTGGGTAAGGAATGAAGGCACTCTGAATCCTCTGTGCTGCCTTATCAGGAACAAGGGAAACTGCTGCAGGGAGCAGCTCCAGTATCCTGCTGCTGCATGCACAGGAGTGGTGGGAGTGAAGGGACAGGGCTGCACAGCCACACCATGGTGCAGAGGGAAGGGACAGGGCTGCACAGCCACACCATGGTGCAGAGGGAAGGGACAGGGCTGCACAGCCACACCATGGTGCAGAGGGAAGGGACAGGGCTGCACAGCCACACCATGGTGCAGAGAATGAAGGGACAGGGCTGACAGCCATACCATGGTGCAGAGAATGAAGGGACAGGGCTGACAGCCATACCATGGTGCAGAGAACGAAGGGACAGGGCTGCACAGCCATACCATGGTGCAGAGGGAAGGGACAGGGCTGCACAGCCATACCATGGTGCAGAGGGAAGGGACAGGGCTGCACAGCCACACCATGGTGCAGAGAATGAAGGGACAGGGCTGCACAGCCATACCATGGTGCAGAGGGAGCGGGCGCAGGGCGAGAACTTCTCCGAGTACTCCTCCTGCACTTCCTTCACCAGGCGCTCCACCTCCTCCCTCTTGATCTTCTTCTTGCGCTGCTGGAAGGGCGACTGGCCCTCGATCATCTCGTACACCAGGCAGCCCAGGGCCCACCAGTCCGGGCTGAACGTGTAGCGCTCGTTCTTCACCACCTCCGGAGCTGTGGAGGAGCGGGGTGAGGGATGGGTGAGGGCAGGCAGAGCACATCTTTGGAACTGCTTTTTGCTTAAAGCAGGGTCACTTACCCATGTAGCCAACTGTCCCCACCCGGCCCTTGATTGTTTGGCCCTCTGGCACATGCACAGCCAGTCCCAGGTCTGAGATACGGATGTGTCCTGCGCAGAAGAGGGGACAAGTTAACAGGAGAAAGTCGGGCGGCAGCGTTTGAAGCTGCCAAAAACACAGGGTAACCCTGGTTCAAGCAGAGTAAGAAAAAACTCAGGCTCACAGCTCCTCTTGCCCCTGCACTCACCATGGTCATCCAGTAATATGTTCTCTGGCTTCAGGTCCCTAGGACAGAAGGGACTTGATTAGCAAGAAGCCTTCAAAGCAAAGGACATGAGCAACGACCACATCTCAACAAGTCACAGATAAGCAACTTTAGGATGCAATGCCCCTGCCTCAGGCACACAGATAACCTTCCCCTCACCCTCTGTCCCAGAGGTGACCCTGCAAGCTCTCCCCTCCTGGGTAGAAAGGTGGAACACAACAACCTTCAACCCTCTGCACTGAGCCTGAGGATGGTTCCCTCTTTGCAGGTGCAGAACTCAGTATGGAGCAGAGGCTTCTCTGCTCATCCTGCCCCAGGGCAAGGAAGGACCAGAAGGGACTTCCTGGCCAGTGTTTAGCCATGCTATCCTAACACTGCATCACACCCCTGAGAGTACAGTCAATCCACTTGTTTTCCCTCCTTCCCAGCTCTTGAGCACGTTGGGGCAGCCTACCCTCCTTTGTTCTAGTGTCAATACTGCCCAGGGAGCTCAGTGCCTGCCCTGAGCCATTCACAGCATGATCACATCCTGTTCTTGGCGATCATTTACCAGCACAAGGAAGCCAAGCTAAGGTCTCCCTTTCTCCCACAAGATCAGCTTTCTGTTCCCGATTCCTCTCACTCAGCTCTGTGCTGCTTTCAAGCCCGAGGTTATTTTGTTGAGCAGACAGACCCAGCTGGGCTGGCAAGAGCAGCAGGAACCCTCTTGCTGCTGCAGGCCCTACAAGCTCTCCCAGCAGGGCCCAGGCAGCACGCACCTGTACACAATCCTCTCCTGGTGCAAGTCCTCCAGGCCACAGCAGATCTCAGCAGCATAGAAAGCTGCCCTGGGCTCCTCAAAACCAGCCTCTCCCATGTGGTAGATATGGAACTTGAGGTCCCCTCCATTCATGAGGGTCAGCACTAGGCAGAGAGCATCTTTAGTTTCATATGCATAGGCTAAGCTCACCTGCAATTCAGGGCAGAAAGGCTGTTAGAAGACACAGCTGGAACAGGGAGGTGCCCACACTCCAATGGACACTTTGCCACCCAAGCAGCCACTCACAGGCTCAGGGCTGGGCCTTTGCCAGCAGAGGAGGAACTGTGCAAACCCAGGGAGGACATGGCAGCACCCAGCAGTCCCAGCACACCCCCAGCTCTCCTCAGACAGGGAGGACACTTTCCCCAAGCCAAAGCTGCTTCCCCCCACGGGCAGGCAGCATCTGATGAACCCTCTGCAAAGGGAGGCTCAGGCTTTCCACACCTCAGTGCACCAAGGCAGAGCTCCCAGTCACACAGCTCAGGGCAGGGCTTCTCCCCAGACCACTGTCTGGAGAGACAGTTCTCACTGTTTACTCGTGCCCCAAAAGTCACAAAAGCGCCTGTAACACCAGATGGGTGTTTGGGGCTGACTCTGGGGGCATTTGCAGCATGTTGTGGAGGCAGTAAAGGTCCTGCCACACCCCAGCCTTGTGAGAGATGTGCAGCCACCAGGACCCTGCACCATGGGCAGAGCCTACTCCTGCCCCTCCACGGCAGGTGAGGAGCACAGAGGTGCCAGGCTGGCTGGTTGGAGGAAGAATCCAGCATTGCAGCAAAGTGAGAGCAATTCCTATGTACTTACTACAAACCTACTGTTCACTTTTTCCAGGATCTGTTTTTCATTCAGGGCCATGGCTTCTCCCTTCCTCTTTTTGATCCTTTTCTTCTCCAGTTTCTTGCAGGCATACATCTTCCCTGTGGCACGCACTTGGCAGGCACACACCTGGAGGGAGGACAAGGCTCAGCACCCTCCCTTTTCCAGAGCGAGGGTCTAGGTTCTGCTCTAGGTTCTGCTCTCAGGAAGGGGCACAGGAAGGCAAAGAAACCCACTGTCAAAGCAAAGACACAGTGACAGCTCCAGATGTTATAGAGAAGCAGGAGCCAGCTCTAATGCCTCAAACACCTTTAGCAGCACCATGGCTGGTGCATAGGAAGACAAAAGGCCACTTCATAAACAGAAGGAAGCCTGGCAGGAAGTTTTCAGGAGTGCAGTTTGCCCTGTTGAGACACAGGGAACAGACCTGACTCTGCCCAGTTAGCAGTAGGCACCACAGGGCTCGTGCTACCAACCCCACACAGCCCCTCCCACACCTCCAGCAGCTGGACAGAGGTGAGCTCCTGCCTCTCAGGGAGAGCTGACAGGTCACACAAGGCCCAAAACACAGCCCAGCACTGAGCCCCACAGCCAGCAGCACCTGCTTCCAGGCGCTGGAGCAGCTGGTGGCACCCTGATGGCCAAGCCAGGCCTGCCTCTGGCAGCAGGTAATGGGGCTGCCTGGTACCCTGAGTGCAGAGGAAGCAGTGGTTACTCACCTCCCCAAAACCGCCCTTACCCAGCACACGGTACTGGCGGAAAGTATTTTTGGTCACTGGCTGCCTGTGAGGGAAAGTAAACCAGAGTGAGATGTGAGCAGTGAGAGGGCTCCATGCCCTGGCCTGACAGACTGTGGCTCACCCCAAACCCCTGCCCAACCCAGCCTTGCCTCCCCACGAGGCTGGGGCTGCTGCTGGTGCCAGTAAAGGGCTCTGAGGGACAGCAAAGGCCAGGGCCCAGCATGGGAAGGAGCCCCAGGGAGCCCTCAGGCAGGCTGTGTGAGGAGGGTGCAGGTTCCCCAGAGGTGAGGGGAGCGTTACCGTTCCAGCCATTTCCACTGCAGGAAGCGGTTGAAGTACAAACTGTCGAGGTAGTCGGCAAAGGGAGCCACGCTCAGGTAGTCGTGGATAAGCCTAGGAGAGAGCAGAGCCAGCACAGTTCCTGAGAGCTGGTCACAGCCCTGGAAGAAGCCAGCAGCCCCAGGAAAGAGGAGGGGAACAGCCCCAAAGGACTCTGCCATCTCTCACCCAGCCTGGTGCAGAATCACCCACACAGCCCCGCTCCATGCTAAGCCCGGTGCAAAGGAAGGTGCGTTGGAGGTACCACTGTGACAAATGCAGCACCCTGGGACCCAGCTGGCACTGCTAATTGTGGCCTCTTGGCATCAGCCAGGGCTGCAGGACAAAGGGGGACAATAGGACTCAGCAATTGCCCCTCTGCTCACAGGGCAAACGTGCACACAGGCTGTAATCAGCTGCTAGCAACATTCAGCACCAGGCGCTGAGCTGTTCACTATCAGTGAATATCCAGCACAAAAGGCCACAGGGGATCCTGCTCCAATGAGCTAACTGCCTTGGAGAGCTGTGCCAGGGCTGCCCAGCGGAGTGAGGAGCCTTAGACACAGTGTCTAGACTGGGAACACGCATCAAGGAGAAGCGGATGGGCTCTCCCCTTTCAGAGCCTGCCAAGAGCAGGCAGGGCCCAGCCCGGAGGCTCTGCATTCAGACACAGCACTGGTTACCACACACGGAGCTAACGCTCCCCAGAAGACTGCAGCAAACGTGTTGCCACAGCCCTGCTCTCAGTGAGGCAACACACTCCAGCTACTGTGCAGGGAGGGGTGAGGCTGCAAGCCTGGCTTGCCCAAGAGCTTCCGCTTCACACCCGGAGCCGGGACCTTGGCCACCACCTCTGTGATGGGAACAGAGGTGACCTTAGAGCCCTGCAGAACAGCCAGAGTGACCCAACCACAACAGCCACTGCTGCAGCAGGCAGGACAGGACAGCTGGCACACACTGCAGCTATGGGCTCAGCTCGGCAGGAGCCTACAAGATCCTGGCACAACACTGGGAATAGCATTGGAACAGGGTCTTCCCAAATGGCAGCTCCAGCTGGGAGGACTGACAGAGGTTTCTGCAGCAGCTCGTGGCTCCCAGAGCCCAAGATACCCTTGTGCTCACTTTCCTGGAGCTGGGCTGCAAACTGCTGGTCCAAAACTCCCCAGGCCCCAGCCTCAGTATCAGCTCTCACTCTCCCAGAGGAAGGGACCACAGGGGACAAGGTGAGTCAGCTGCAGATCATCCCCGTGCCATGTGTGACCTGCAGGCACAGCCCAGCCCTCCAACTTACTTAGTGCATTCCTTGAAGAGTTCCTTGGAAGGTTCCTGCTCCAGCCTCTCACAACAGGCATCCACCAGTTGTGAGGGAACTTCAGGCACGTGGTCCTCACTCTGGGGACAAAGGGATGGAGTCAGGCATAGGGAGGAGAGCACAAGGACCTGCTTTAGGGTCAGTGGGCAAAGCAGTGGGGCAGCTTGTGAGGTGGTGTGGTGGCTCAGCATGTTGGCTGTGGCAGGACATGGGCAATGTCAGCTGTTGGCTTTCGAACTGTTCTACCCTTGCAGACAGCAAACACAACCCTCTTACTCACGTTTGGCTTCAAGTACTTTTCAATCAGGTGCTGCCCACATTCCTTCCTCTTCTCATCTGGAGCCACTTCGTACCCTGCCTGGAGAGAGCAGTGTGAGGGGCAGTTCCAGCCAGAAACCCAGCCTTGCTACTGGGCAACAGCTGTGGGGCAGCAACACTCTCTGCCCAAAGTTTCCCATGCTTTCCTTGAAAACCAGATCTCCAGCTAAAATCTCCCAAAGCAAAGGACCAGCCCTATCCAGGCTCCGACTCACAGGTTTTTCCTACAGGAAAACCCTATTGCCCAGAAGTACCTGCTGGAACACCCAGCCAACCAGTTCATGCCCAGGGTGTCAGGAACATCCCTGCCTCCCCCAGTGAAGCCTGACAGGCTCTGCTCTTACCACAGCATCCAGGAACTTGACGCAGCGTGAGAGCTCGGGGCGCGTCTCGCAGAACTGCCGGAACAGCATGTGCCCGATGGGCTGCTTCTCGCACAGGCTGTGGTAGTCCCGCTCTGCAAACGAGGAGAAGGTCACCCCAACAAATCCCAAAGGAGCAGTCCCAGCCCAGGCAGCACTGGGGTTACTGTGACTCCTCAGCTGGGCTGCTGACAGGTGCCACCAGCCTGAGACTCCCAGGAGAGTGAAGCGCACCCAGTGGGACAAGGGCCATTGCTGAGGTTTTATGTTCCCCTATGGAAGATGCTCTTCCCTGAAAGAGGATTGACCTGCTGCTCTGTTCAGCCTGAACCTCTTGTTCCTAGCAAAGGACCTCCATATCAGCTGCTTGCCTAAAGGCTCTCTTCTCTCTCCACAGAGATCAACCAACTACTCCAGCCACATAACTTTCCTTGGAACATGAGGAACACACCAAGCTTATCTCAAGGCAGATCTTCCAGGCCAAGAGTTGTTCTGATGACTCCTTCAAACCATTTGTGTTCCCAAAGGCCTTGCTGGAAGCAGCAGCATCAAAATGGGAGGCACCATTCCCACAGATGCCTTGCTGATGTGCACACAGCAGTCAGAACTCCCTTCTCCATGGGACAGCCACTTGCTCGTACATCAACTCTTGCAGATTCCTCCTACCCCTCTCTGAACTCTGGCAGCCCACGCACAAACGCCTTTGACTATCCAGAGCACTTCCAGTTCTCTGCTTTCTTCCTCCCCTTCCACTCAGAAGACGTCTGATCCCAGGCCAGAACACATTTCTGTGACAGCCACTGCCACCGAGGGCTGCCTGCAGAGCAGATGTGCAGCCATCCAGGGGATCCCAGCGCTGGGTACTCCCAGCCTTCCTCTCCCTGTGCAGCAGTTTCTCCCGAGGAAGCTGCAGCTTCCTGAGGGTGCAGGAGAGTGCAGAGCCAGGCGGGCTGTGGTGGGGGAGGAGGTGGCCTCACCAGCTCCGCCGCCCCAGCTGGTTTCCTTGTGTCTGCAGGGGAAGGAGTTCCCTTCAGCTGGGGAGGACCAGAATTTGCTGTCGGCGAGATCAGAAGCTTTCAGCTGCCCTGGTCGCTGCCCAGGCTCACAAGAGGTTACTCCCTGTGGTCAGGGCACAAAAAGTTTAATTCTGCAATGGGCAACCAGCCCACCGTGCCCACAGTCCTGCCAAGACTCTGGAATAGGAAAGAAATGCCTTTCCAGAAACTATGAGGTGAAAAGAAAGACAGCCCAGCCAAAGAGTGCCCAAGCACAAGGAACAGGGTCATCTCTCCCATGGGAAAACCAAGAGAAACTGCTGCCACCTGGGTCAGAGCACTTCTCACGTGCCTCTCCGAGGGGAAGTGAGACACTGGTGGTGACAGCCAGTGGCTGAGAGGGACTTGCTTCCCAAATCTTCACAAGGTCACTGTCCTGGATAGCAGGACAGCAGACATGGAGACCACCAGCACTCAGCGCTGGCAAATGGGTGAAGTTCAGTGCTGGAAAACATCATGACAGCCACAGGAAGGGTGGCTGCAGGCACAGGGTGGACAAAAGCTGAGGGAAAGCTCTGCTGAGGGCATTGCAAGTCAAAGAAGGGATTTGGATGGACAAGATGGGAGCTGCAAGGAGAGCCCAAGCCCTGTTCAGCCCTCAGACCTTGCTCCAGAGAGGCAGCCAGCAGCAAATCCAAGGCTGGAGTCACCACACAGTCACTCTGGCTGTGAAGCCAGCCCTGAGAGATGGTGCACGGGTTGTGTGGCAGAGGGAGGTGGGGACAGCCTGCACTGGGCTGCTGTGAACATGAGGGTTACAGTGTGGATGAGTGAGGTTGAGGTTCTCCAAGCACTACAGTTCTGTGGGGCCCAAAGGACTCCCAGGACTAGAAAACCTGGGCAGGGCAGAACTGGGGATCTGAGCTGCAGAAACCTCCCAAACCCATTGGTTTCAGTGGCACTGGCTCTGAAACAAGGCCAGTGCTGTGCCACTCTCCAGCTGGCAGCTGAATCCAGACTGAAAACTTAAACAAGCTCTCCTCTTCCCAGGAAGCAAAGCACTTGCACCCTCTGTGCCCCAAAACAATTTCACATGATCTCAGGACCAAGCCTGCTGCACAAACAACATTAAAACCATGAAGAGTACAAAGTACAGAATGAAAATGACAGGCCAAGCCCTGCTCAACGCCAGTTCTCATCCACTCCACACAGCAAGAACCCAAGTTTACTGCTTGAATGTTAGAAGCTGAGGTCTGTGAAGCTGAGCTGAATTCAGCCAAGGAGAACAGAAAATTTTAGCAGGACCTTTGTTATTTTTGCAGTCACCCCAGAGTGACACTCCAAAACTCTGCAGCATGGAGCAGGTCTGTTTGACACAGAAGGTGATGTTCCCCTAGTGAAGCTCATCACAGCCTTGCAGGTGTGTGGCTACATCATCAGCCACTTACCCACCCATTATTTCTTCCCTACACTCTGAACTCCAAGTAATCCTGGCTGGGATTTGCCCTGTTATATGTCCCTGACACTCAGCTTGGGGTGCACACCCCCCACCCAGCCCTGCATCTCACCCAGGGTTTGCCGAAGGTCCTCGCAGAGGCTGATGTGGGGGAACTGCAGCATCTGGCGCCATTTCTTGCTCTTGCCTTTCCGGTTTCCTCCACCACCTGCAGGGCACACAAAATCAATACCATGAGTCAGGAAGCAAAGGTGTCTGACTGCACCCTAGCCTTGCCTCTAAGTCCAGGCAAGGAAAACAAGACTGACACGGTATCAGCATCTCCTGGTGGGACCAAAGTGTTGGAGCCTGGATTGGAAATGGACAGACCAACCTCTGGCTGCTGAACAAATCCCAAACAAGAACTTGAAGACCTTTCATGATGGAAGAATCCCACCAGTGTCCACAGTCACAGCAGTTCTTGGCTCCCAGGCCTGTCCCCAGCACCTCTGCATAACTAATCACCCCTCCAGGCCATGCCTTGCTTGGTGTGAAACTCTTCCTGCCATAGTAATGCCACCTACTCATTCCAGACTGATTGCTTACTCCAGGGAGGGGCTCTCACATGGAGGACATGAAGCTGGGAGACAGGAATTCCTGCTCTAATCCTGGCTCCACAGACAACTCAGCTACATTGCTTGGGGCTCATTGCTTCAGTTTCCCACCTCTGAAGTGGGGACACTCCCACCTTTCTCCAGAGATAAGCCAGCCTCAGAAAATCCAGATCCAAGAACCAGGTATTACTTCAGCTTCAACTGCTGGAGTAAATGCCCAGTGCTGTAGGACAGGGTGGGAAAGCTTCTAGATAGACCAAAAAATTTACATCATAGCAAACACTCAGTACCGATTGCTGGGATCAGCCAGCCTCCAGGGATTGCTTTCCCAGTGCCAACACACACAATTTCCCACCTCTCTTTGGAAATTCATTAAATCACCCTGCCAAAGTGGTCGGGCCAAGAGTTGGGCTCAAGGCCCGGCCTTCTGAAATCACACAGGGGTTGAACATAATTTATCAGCTCTTGAGAAACACTCTCAGAACACTTTCCTCCACTGCAGATGCAGTTCAGCCTCAAACCCCAGACACAGCATGGAGAACCAGGTGGGATGGGACCATCCTGGTCAGCCCCAGGTGGTTCCAGCCCCAGGTCCCAGCCCCTGGCATTCCGTGGGTCCCTGCAGTGCATCTGCCCCGCAGCAGCAGCAGCAGCTGGGCCGCACGATTGTACAAACTCAGGAAGGAAGTGACTCAAGGGTGAGCAGGGCTGGAAGAAACCAGCGGCGCAGACACCTTCATGTCAGCCACAATGCAGCGGATGGGGGCAGCGAAAGGAGGGCAGGGGAGGACAGGCCATCCTCACCCCAAGAGAACTCAAGGAAAGGCAGAGCAAAGCCCCACAGCACCCGGAGGTTGCATTTCCTTGAGTTGTTTGCTTTGAAAGGAGGCTCCAGCGCCCTTCACGCGCGGTTCTCCCCCGCCCAGAGGGAAGCTGGGCTCCTGCACAGCAACCTCCCAGCACCCCTGGCTTGGGGATGGGGAAAGGGGTGGGCTGCCTCCACCCAGAGCTCAGCAGGAGCAAGCTTCAGGGCTGGGTGATGGATGAGAGCTGCTCTGTTGTCCCTCTGTCAGGGCAAGGGGGACAAGGATCCTTCACCTTCCCTGGGCCACACCAAACACAGGGCATGGTCCTGCTGTGGTTGGTTGTCAGCAGCCTCATAGCACATCCCAGCTCAGCTCTGCACTCCCACACCAACCTAGGAAGCTCCAAAAAGGCTGGGCTGGAGTTAAGAACCCAGCCCTGTTGGTTCTGGCCTGCAAAGCAGCTCTGTCCTGTCACAGAAGCTGTCCGAGCTTACCCCAGTGGCCACCACAGCCACTCAGCCACAGGTGGGAGAGCCACAGACAGGCAGCATGGCCACCTGTGGCCCTCACAGCCCCAGAACCACCTGGCACAAGTGGGACACTGGGATGTTCCTGCCTGCAAACTGCAAACAGGAGCAGCAGCCGTCCAGCACCTCATGCTGCATCAGTGCCAAAACTCCACTCCCCAAGGGCACCACAGGAGCCGGTCTCTGGGTCACTCCGTGTGAGGCTGGGCCCCGTGCCTGGAGGTCACAAACCCTGCTGCTTGGTTTTGAACCAAACCTCGCCATTATGAACCCAAACGTCACGGTCCACCACGGTCACTGTGCCAGGAGTACTTACACTTAGCCTGCTTTTCGAGCAGATTGGAAATGCTTCTGCCCGTGCAAATTTAATTTCGCTGCCTTTTATTCCCACAAATCTAATCTCCAAAGCCCTCTAACTGGATTTCAGCGGGTCTCTCAGGCTCCAGGATGGCTCGGTCTGGCCAACTGCACACCACGGGGCAGGGGGGAGCGTGCAGCACATATGGGATTTAATGAACTCATCGATGCCCGGCTGGAGCGGCTCCTCTGTGCAAAAGACCGGGTTCCTGTGTGAAACTTCCCATCCCCTCCTGAGGCTGCTCCCCTGCATCTTCAGGACATCCCACACGGGGGGCTGGAATTCAGCGTGGCCCGGAGCAGCGGGAGCGCTGGGGGCCCGAGCAGATGGGGCCGGGGCTGCTGTGAAGGCGGCGGACGGGGCGGGCGGGGCTCCCCGCCGCAGTTTCGGGATCGGCCCGTGTGTGGGAAGCAGCATTTACCGGACTGAAATCAACTTTTTTTTCCTCCTACGGCACCCAAAGCTGCCTGTACGCTGTGCCGGGGGAGCTGGAGCAGCCCCGGAGCGGGCAAGGCGGGACGCAGACGGGGCGATCTGCGAGGCCGCCCGGGACGGAGCTCGGCACCCCCGGAGCGAGCACAGCGCCGGGCAGCCCCCGCGCCGGACGGGCGAGCCGAATGCCTGTGCCCAGCCCGCGCCGCCACCTCCCCGTTCCCCGCCAAGGCCGCGATGCCCCGGGAGGGACCGCCCCGGCCGAGCCCCGGGGCGGCACCACCGGGGCCCGCAGCCCGGGCCTGCCGCCCCGCCAGCTCCGGTGCCCGGCGCCGCTCACCTTCGCGGGCCTTGAGCAGGACGGTGTTGGCGACGATGTTCTCCAGCTCCATGGGCCCGCGGGCGCCGCCGCCTCCCGCCGGCTCCGCTCCCCGCGCTCGGCCCGCGCCCGCCGCCCCCCGCCGCCGCCGCCGCGCCCCGCCCCCCGCGCCCCGCCCGACCAATGCCTGCCCTCGCTCCTCCCGCGCCGCGCGCCCATTGGCCCGCCCCTTCAGGAAGCCCCGCCCCCTCGCAGCACCACCGCCCTCCAGTTGGCTCCGCGAGGTGCAGCGGGAGGGGCGGGCCCATAGTAGTGACGTTATCCGGCGGCCACCGGCGGAGCGCTGCCGGGACGAAGGGCAGGCGCTGATTGGAGGGCGAGATGTCACTCAGGACGCACCGCGAACGGATTGGGAGAGAGTCAAGTACGCCCACACGGGAAGCCTCTCCTCCCACGTCATCTGATTGGGTGTGGAGCTGCCACTCAGACGTAGAGCGACTCGTGATAGGCTGGTCTATGGTGGGTGAGGCCGAGTGGTTGAATATAAATAAACTCCGGTGCTCAGCAGAAGCCGAGAGAGTCTCCCGGACTTTGTGGGGTCTCGGTTTCGGTCCCAGGGCGGGGCTGTTTCCGCGGTGTCCTGTGCTCTCTCCTGTTCGAACCAGCACACCTGGTTTCCCTGCAGTGCTGGCCTGTACTCGAGCACCCCTTGATGACCTGTCAGCCCCTCACTCACCTGCCCATCTCCCTGCCTCTCCTGAGCACAAAACCACTCCTTAATCTTCTTACACCGAGTGGTGTCTGCCCTGCTTTGTGCTGCTCCTGGCTTTGGGGTGAGGACATCACCTCTGCCTTCCCACGGCTTCTGTACCTCGCTCCAGCCCACGGGAGATGCCTCCTTCCCAGCAGGTGTGAGGCTGGTGCTGGCCGGGGCAGGGAGGAGATGATGGGCAGATCCCTCCCCTGGTGTCTGTCAGTGGCAGCCTGGGCCCACGGCAGGAGAGATTTTGGGTTCATGTCCTCAGGCTGCAGTGAGGATGATAATAACACAAATTACTCCAAGCACTCACTGTCCGTACAGTCAGTACTGCTGTGCCGTTCAGCATCCACTGGAAATCAGATGTCACATCTACAGGGTATGAATCTGCAGCGATGAGGAGGAGGAGGAGGATGCTTTGCCCTGCCACACCTTGAGGGTAATCTCTCTGTCACTGCCTGGAGCGATGAGCTCATGGTGTGAGAGCTCCTCTTTTAGAGCTGCTTTCATTCCAAAGCATGTTTATTTTCAACTTAAAATGAGATTACTCTATTTCCATCCATTTCCAGCATTAACCCTTGGGTTGCTATTTTCTGTTTCCTCCCACCTGGCATTCTGCAGCACCGTTCCCATCACTGACAAAGCTCACGGACAACGGGAGGCTGCTGGAGCAGCACCAGTGTCCAGAGGATCCCGGTGTCCCCAACAGACCCAGCAGCAGCTCAGGTATGGAGCTGCCACTCCGCTTTTCAGATCTGTGGAGGGGAGCTGTGTGCTCATGCCCAGGAGGATGGACAGTGCCTGGGACCCTGTTGGCACCAGGGTGTGTGGCCAGGGCACTGTGGGGCCCTGGGCTGCTGCCAGAGGGCTGGTGCCCCTGGGAGAACTGACCCGGCCATGTCCCCACTAGTTGCCCTCATCTGGGTATTTTTAGAAGCAAAATGTTGTTTAGTTGTGAGAAGGAGGAGGGCGGCTGTGGGAGGGGAAGCTGGGTGGCAGTGATAGGGCAGCTCCTTCCGTGGGCAGTGCCCGAGCAGCTCCAGCCACCAGGGCCAGACCCCTCCGAGGGACCCATCCCAATCCATCCCAACCCGATCCCACTGGGAACTCTGCTGACTCCAAAGCTCACACCATGAGCCTCCCCACATGGGGCCAGCAGGCACAGTGATGGCCCAGGGATCCTCACTGCTGCGAGTGTCCCCATCCCATCCAGCCCCCCATCCCATCCAGCCCCCCCAGAGCCCAGCTGAGCTGCACCCACCCTGACAGGGGCTGGGGGAGCTGGCAGGGGCCAGTGTTCCTTGAGCTCCAGCTCCCAGGCGCCAGCAGCTGTTTTTAGCCCAGAGAAAGTCCAATGTTTTGAGATTTTCTATTTTGAGCAGCAAAGCTGAAGAAGTGGAGCAGCCCCTGACCTCCGGGTGTCTGTGCAGAGCGAGGCAGGCAGCCAGGAAGGGTGGGTGTGGGGCGGTCTCTGCCCCCCAAGGGGGATGTGGTTGTCCCTGGGTCTTCCCCCCACAGCTGCCTCTGTGGCCTCTTGCACGTCAGGCTGTGCTGGAGCCTGTTCCCATGCGATCCCATCTCTGACACTCTCCCAAGGGAGAACAGCCTTTCTGGCTCTGGGATGTCATTCCTGCTTTCCCTCCTGCAGCAAGATCCCAGAACAGTCCCCAAGCAGGATGTGGGGTGTTCCACGCCAGACCTGCAACCCTTGTACCCCACTGTGGGTACGTGTGTGGCCTCACAGAGCCCCCATGACATAGCACAGCTGGCATGTTCCCAGAGGGGACAGAGAGGCACAGGGCTCGGGCTGGGCTGCTGTGGTGGCACAGTGAGATCAACCCAGCGCTGGTGATGCTGCCATGGGGGGGGTTTTGTCTCCTCACAGCAGCCATGGGATCCATCCCCTACACAAGAGAGTGCTGGGGGACACAGACATTCATCTGAGAGTGGGGAGGGCTCACTCAGCAAGTTGTCACCACCACTGCTGCAAGGCACAGCTGTGGGGTGATGCGGGTGACAAAAGGAGCTGGCGGTTGGTGCCGCTTTCTGAGCAACCTGGAGGCAGACGCCAGCCCCAGGCACAGGATTTGGTCCCGTTTTATTCAATCCTGCAGTTCCAGAAGCACCTCGAGCTGCACACTGGCACTGCCATCCAGGGACTGTGGCATGGCCAGGTGCTGTGATCGCTGAGCAGGGCTGGTGGCCATGTCTCCAGTGTCCCAAGGGGTCCCTAAGAGCGGTGCCGGTGCGGGACGGCAAGGAGCCGGCGGAAGGCAGCACGGAAATCCCGGTTGAAGAGGGTGTAGATGAGGGGGTTGATGCTGCTGTTGCAGTAGCCGATCCAGAAGAAAAAGTTGAAGAGGGGCTTGGAGACACGGCAGCCCTGCCCACAGAGAGCCCCCAGGCTGTAGGTGAAGAAGAAGGGGAACCAGCACAGCACGAAGGCGCCCATCACCACAGCCAGCACGACAGTGAAGCGCCGCTCCCGTGCCCGCACCAGCCGCCGGCGGCACAGCAGCATGCTCTGGTGCTGGCTCCGGTGGCGCCATCTCAGCATCCCCACGCCCAACACCTTTCCATCGCCGCTGGCAGCGCATGGAGAGCGGGCAGCGAGCAGGGCGGCCGTGCGCCGGGCAGTCAGGCGGTAGATGCGGCAGTACACGGCCACCATGACGAGGCAGGGCACGAAGAAGGAGGCGGCGCAGGAGGCCAGCACGTACCAGGTCTCCTGGCTCAGCTGGCACTCCCGCCCGCCCGGCCGCGGCCGCAGGAGCGGTGGCAGTGCCACCAGGGCCGCCGCCGCCCACACCGCCCCGATCATGGCCCTCACCCGCCGCGGGCTGCGGCGCAGGTTGAGCCGCGCCGCCCGTGTCACGGCCCAGTAGCGGTCGAGGCTGATGGCGCAGAGGTGCCCGATGGACGCCGTGCACAGCAGCACGTCCAGCGCCAGGTACAGGCTGCACCACAGCCCGCCAAAGTACCAGTAGCCCATCACCTCGTTGGCCAGCGAGAAGGGCAGCACGAGGACGGCCACCAGGATGTCTGCCGAGGCCAGGGACACGAGGAAGAGGTTCTGTGGGGCTTGCAGGGCCCGGCTGGTGGAGATGGCCACCACCACCAGAGCGTTTCCCAGCAGCGTGGCCAGCAGGACGGACAAGGCTGCCAGCAAGATGAGCCCCGTGGCTGCGGGTGAGTGTGGGGCACTGCTGGCACTGCTGCCGTTACCGGAGGTGTTGGGAAGGGCACTGGCTGGCTCCATGCTGGCCCGGCCCCTCACGCAGATGAAGCCCCATGGGGCTTTCCCCCACCCTGCTCACCGGTCCCGAAGCGGCTGCGGGCGCAGTCCCAGCATCGCTGAGTCCCCGGGGGCTGTCCTGGCTGCCGCCACTCCTGCACTGACCCGGTCTGGTGGCGAGGTCGTCCTGGCCCGGTGGTTGCCCGGCTGGGCATGCAGGACAGCGGCGGGGCCGGGAGCACCGAGAGGCTCCCACGGCAGCGCTGCTGGCTCTGCTGGTCCCAGTCCGGAGGAGGGCGGGCGGGAAGGAGGGAGGGAGGGAAGGGTGGGCCGATATCACTGGCAGGAACCCAAACATCTGTGGGCAGTGGGAGAAGCTGTTATTGCCACTTAAAGGGCTCCCTTCAGGGTCACCACGGCAGGAGGGCTCCAGCCACGGGTGCCAGGGTGCCTGGTGGTGCAGGGGCACTGCCCAACCATGCCGAGTCATCATCCTGCTGATCCCAGCTCCTACTGCTGGTCACTGCAGCGGCCCAGGACCTTGCTTGGCTGTGCTGTGCCTCGATCACAGATATGCTGCTGTGGCACACAGTGGGGCACCACGGACCCTGCCAGGTCAGCCCTTTGGGGACAAAGCAGGGGAAGAAGATGCTGCCTGTGACAGCTCAGTACAGGTGGCTACAGAGATCAGGGTTTAGCCGTGGCATCATCACCATGATGATGTGCTTGGTGTGTCCCCAGCACCAGCTGGGCTGAGCAGTGATGGTGTGAGGGGTAGCTGTGACAGTAGGGTTTGCAGTGGGAGGACCCAAAGAGACACACGCAGGGGTGTCAGCACTCCCCCTTTATTAGACACAGCTGAGCAGGGGCGGTGGGCACCAGTGGCCACAGGAGCAGCAGCCCGGGTGAGCAATGCCAGCTAGAGCCGTGTGGCACCGTGCGGGAGCGGGCGAGGGGAGCCCACCCGCGTGCTGGGGCTGGGCATCTCCTCGGGGTAGGAGAGGGCAGGGTTGTCCAGCCCCAGCCTGGCCTTGTCGCGGGGAGCGCCCTCGGGCTCCTCCCAGCCCTCGGGGCTGCGGCAGCG